CGCAATCGTAATTCAAGTCGTTCTCTACATCTCGACTATAGCTCGGCCTACGATCGTAAAAAGTTAAAAGTATTTCGCTTTTCATTGATACATTTTCCACGTTATCGAGCAGTCGCCGCGTGTTCTTCTTTCTCCTTATCGTTTTAAGATGCTGTTTTTTCCAGCCTACAGCATTTAGATAGAGAAAATACGCCCGTCGAGGAAAAATGCAATTAACACAGACATTAATTAACGTAATAACTTTAGATAGTTTTCCTTTATTTTCCTAATAACACTACGTAACATGAGTGTCACTTGTCGGTACTATAATTGCAAAAATTCAATATTTCGTATCTTTTCCTCTTTTATCTCCGTATCTCTCTAGGCTTTTGATTTCGCAGTGTGGATGGCATGTTGATTTTGTCAGTCTTTTACATGTGCTGGAGCAAGTTGTAAGTCGAATACGATGTCCTGAGCATCTGCAATTAATATGCGCATTTGTAATGTCGCTTTAGTTACGATATTTGGTTGAACATGTAGTGTGTAATTTTAATTTGACATTGCATGACAGTTTGTCCAAATATTTTCGAATAATACATTAATCGATACTCCGATCGTTATATTAAATTCAGTAAAATCTATCAGCGAAGTCAAGCGTGATTGCATATTGCACTCTCTTCATACTAACACCCATGAAAGACTCGAGGTTCATGGGAATTACATAAGCGCTAGTAATTTGAATAGGCACTATCGCGCGCCTCATTATTATAATTAGAGACTTCTTTCTGTTTTCGTCCAGTGCCATCCATTCCATCTCAAAAATATCGTCGATCAGCTCATAGCTCTACTTGACATATTTGAAAGATATGTATTGGCATAAAAATCTATTATATCCTATAAAAATGGAAGGAATGATATTCGTACCTTTAGCTTCACCTCGTTTCCATACCAGCAGTAAAAGAAAATTTGCGTTAGCATGCAAATCATATACAATGTCATTTCGACATGCTTGGCATGCGATGTCGTTTTAGTTAATTGATACAGACTGAAGCACACCACCAACGTACTCATTATAAATTGAATAACAATAATATATCTAAACTTTGCATTTATAATAAGGGCAAATCTGAAATTCGTGGTAATGTTTCTTTTGCAAGAAAATGTTTAGTAAGACGCATATAAAGTGTAATTTGACGCAAATATCACGCGAATACAATTATATTAAAATGAAAATAAATAGCGTGTAATAAGTTTAACATCAGTATATATGTGTGTTTGTGTATTCAAACAAAAACATCACTTATAGACCGACCTGAAGATATGACAGTGCTGACGAACGCATTCGCCGAGAGTACCAGAGTAAGACATATTTTTACGAAGACGATACGCTAAGATCTCAATTTGGCAGCAAATGTGGACCAAAAACCCACAAATAAGACTGTCGCAAGCGATGTTTAGGAAAGCTGCCATGGTTAAACTTATGAGCTGATGAGCATATGTCAGAGAGTACAATATTGTCGACGAGCAATCAAACGGCAACCATGCTCGGTATGTTAACTTTCTTTTGCCGAGATTTAAGCACAGAGACGTTAACACGATGAATGAGCATGTCACTACTCCCAGGTATATATAACGCCAAGTGTTAATCCTATATAATGATTAAGTATATGTATAGCAAATATTTTTGTAAGTGTAGTAACTGCGTTGAGAAAAAAAGTACTTAAGAATTTATTTATGAGATATAAAGTTTATTCATAGAAATAAATCTTATTTTGTAGAGAGAGAGAGAGAGAGAGAGAGAGAGAGAGAGAGAGAGAGAGAGAGAGAGAGAAATTAAACATTTGATTAGAAATTAGTCTTATTTCACAGAAATAAACTTTATAAATATTCAGGTATTTCTTTCTCAGTGTAGAAAAATTGAAGAAAAATTTTATCTCACATAAATTCAAATATTTCTATGCTACGATAATTAACGATAAGATGAATATTATGATAATTAATTTTAACAATATGAATATTTTTCTTCTATGATAATTATTGTTTACCGATACTTACTCTATGTCTTTGTCAAATTTATATTGAATCTTCATTTCGTTTGATCTCAACGGTCTACACGGCTTTTTCGCCAGTATATCGAGTAGTGTGATGATGTTTTTGCGATTTATCAGCATGCTGAACAATTTACAGCAAGAGATGAACATGGCGAGCAGTACAAAGAAATTGTCAGAAAAATCCTCGGCATTGTCCACTGTCAGAACTATATCCATGAATTGCGACAACATGAAGCTGTTCAATACGACGACCATCACGATCGAATATACATTATACGCCACGCGTTTATACAAGGAGTTGCAGGAATCTGGCCGCCAGCAACCGAATATCGTCAGAAGCTTGAAGGTAAGTTTAAGAACGCACATCTGAAGATTGCGGTTTTCAGTAACGTCACGTAAAACAGACGGCAGCACTTACATATTTTGAATAATCGGTTCTTACACATTAATTGTCAATTGCTCTATTCTAACATCCTTTTTTATTATACTATAGATATAGCTATAGATATTTCTACGACCGTATAATACATCCAGATGAATATCCTGTATATTATTTGTATTAGCGGCACGTTAAGTCATATTATGCACTTTGGATGATAATAACTGATAAGTACATAATAAGAAAGATAATAACTTCTAAAGAGACAAAGATATTGACTGATACAAGCGTTGACGGATTGTATAACGTCGCGGATGGAATTCAGTGAATGCGGATATATTCCGCCTCCCGCATAGTCGATAATTATATTATTCATTTCACAACGATATCCCTCGTAAAATCATTTTTTCATGAATCATATATGCAACATGGTAGCAGAAAGACTTCGTACAACTACGTGAAATAATAACCTTTTCAAATGCAATAATGTTTTCAATGGGAAGACAGTGCGGGAAACACAGAATGAACTCGTTAAATATTGAACAGTCGACCACGACTTATTATAAAATATTAGGGTGGACGAATTGTGCTTTCACAGGAACGGAATATTATTGTTGTATATATGAAAAAATACCACTTTGTGAGAGCGATAGTCGCATTGCGGAAACATATCAGCGATATTAAGTGAAGTAGTTTATTATATCTTTGATTGATTTGCATATTCCTGCAAACTTTATATGACATGGATATGGAAAACGTCATCAGCACAACAACGGTTCTGCATTTATCTCAGACATTCGTATCTTGCGCTCGTTGAAGTATATTATAAGTTGAGTACGATGTTTTGAGTATCTGCAACAAAAGCAAGATCATTCGTGGCCTTATTTTCAAAAGGCTAAACTCAATATTACATTTACATTTTGTATTGAAATAAAATATTGCTAATTTTTGCGTACTAACAGTCACAAACGACTCGAGATTCATAGGCATAACATAGGCACTGGTGAACTGGATTGGCACAGTGCTGCGTCTCGTGATTATTAACAAATCCTTCTTCACACTTTGTTCCAGCGCGAACCATTCCATTTCAAAGATATTATTAATCAATTGCAATCCCTACGGCCATGAAAACAAAAGAGACTCCGGCTGAAATATAAACCAGCAAAATCTGCGGAGCGCAAAGAAATGAAAATACGCACCTTTAACTTGACTTCGTTCCCATACCAGCAGTACAGGAAGATTTGCGTCAACATACACGACATGTACAAGCCTAATTCAACGAATTTTACGCTCATCTTGCTTAATTGATACAAGGTAAAACACACCACCAACATACTTACTATGAACTGAAAGGTAATGGTGTATCTAAATTTCTTGTTCAACAAATGAGCAAACCTAAAATTAACCAGACATCTCGTGATTTGTGTGATTACTTATTGATAGAAATACCGATAGATATAGTGACAGAAAATTATGAGATGTAAATTTAAACTAGTAAGCTAGTAGTAATTCGGGTCTCCTTTAATGTAGCTCGCTGTACAACCCTTATAGAAATATCATACTAAGAATCATTGATAATTACTTATTTTCAGTATTAAAAATACTGGATAATAAGTAATTATCAATGATCCTTAGTATGATATTTCTATAAGGGAAGTACAAGTTGTATTATTTGAAACATGTTTGGTTTCGAATAATCAAATAATCGAATGTTTGATATCGAACCAACTCGATACAGTACAGCAGCTATAGAAAATGATTTTTGTCGTAACACTAATTATAAAAAAAACGAACTTGAATATAAGATTGTGCTGTATAACGCAGTGGCGTAGTACTTCTGGATTGCGTATGATCTGTTTCAAGCGGTAATTCAGTATTTCTATTTGGCAGCAGATATGTAGCAATAGCCCACATATAAGTCCGTCGCAGGCAACATGCAAAACGGATCCGACTATTAGGCTTATCAGCTGATGAAAATACGTAATGTGAAAAAGCGTCGTCGACGAGTAGTCGTACGGTAACCATGCTCTGAACGTCAGCTTTTCTTTTCTATAGTCGGTGCACAACGACGCTATCGATATTGACACACACGTAACTTCGACCAGAATCGCATAATGCAAAGTGTTCGTCCTATAAAAGAGCTGCGGACGGTTTTGCTTTTCATTAAAGGCTTAAATACGCTATACGTAATATCATCATCACGTTATTATTTTTTAATACTTTAAAAAATGTTTGGTAATTATTTACATTAGGGGCGCCATCTCCGATGAGCTCCTCCTTGACATACTAGTATAGTATCAAGGTATATATCTCTGAGTAACATTTCAAAGATTTTATACTATTATTTGTACTCATTGCTTATTAAAAAGTTATTAAATAATTTTTTTATAAATAAAACGTAATTTTGCACATAGTGAATATGGAAATAATGTAAACAGTACATGTATATGCGCGGGAGGGCTCCGTTCTTCCTCCCGCACTCTGTTCGATAACAGCTCAACTGTTGGTAAGTGGCCGGCTCGTGTCCGGACTCAAGTACGTCAATTAGCCCAAGGTCACGAATTATTTTCGCGTTCTCCTATCCAGGAGCCTCTTTGGATGGAATGAGGGGTAGTCTTTGGAGAACGTGTTACTAACGGTTTCAGGGCCGCGTAAATGTCCCTATGAAGGACATGCAGTGGATGGCTCGGCGCCTCCGCGCTGGGAAGAACTCCCTCTTTCGGTGGATAGAAGACTAGATAGCCTATTAGCGTAGACGGTGAAGACTAAGGCCGGTATTCATAATCCGATCTTATATTTAAGATCATCTTAAGTACTGTCTTAAGATGTCATGAACTAATCACAAAGTCAATCATTCGCACCTTGAGACATTACTTAAGACTGTCTTGAAATAAGATTCGACTATGAATACCGGCCTAAGTCTCGAATAGATTTAGGAGCGAGCGTTGCTCGCATGAAGAATGTCACAAGCGCGACAGTATCGACGTCGAACGATACGCGATATCCGCTGCAATGCTTGAGATATCGCAGAAGGAAGCGTCTGTCCCACGGTGGAGGCTGTAAGTAATCCGGAGAGATCTCGCGGATTCCCCTCTCAGCTCAACCGGGATGATCTTGAAAAGGTAACCAGCTATGAGATTATCAAAATATCTCAAGGCAGGCCCTTGTGTCGCGGGTGGACACTATGGGTGCGTTCGGGGAGCACGCTACTAACGCTACCGCGTTCTTCTATCTTTATTGCTCCTTAAATATACAACAAGGATAGAATGACACGGTAGCGCTGAATAGCGCTAATAGCGAGTTTCCCGAACGCACCTTATAAAGGCAGTAACTTAACGTGCAATGCACTTAAAAAAAAGCTTCGAACGGCCGTCTTATAGGCCGGTATTCATAGTCGAATCTTATTTCAAGACCGTCTTAAGTAATGTTTTAAGATGCGAATACGGCTTTGTGATTGGTTCATAACATCTTAAGACAGTACTTAAAGCTCCTGGGAAGTCGCATCATCCATCTCTTTTTAATGACGTCAAAGGCGAGAAAACGCATGCTAAAAACGTCCTGCAAAGTACATCAAGATGAACAGATATATCCACAAAACGACATTTGCGATCGATTAAGTACACCTCTAAAATACTCCGTACACTTTCTTTTTGTTCTAACAATCAACAGATAATTATAAAATAAATGTGACGTGCAATCGTCTTTTCTAACCTAATTTCCTCATTATCTTGTCATATTAATTTTTCGATTATCTATTAATTTTTAGAACAAAAGGAAAGTATACGGAGTATTTTAGAAGTGTATTTAATCGATCGCAAATATCGTTTTGTAAATATATCTGTTTATCTCGACGTATTTTGCAAGAATTTTTAGCATGTGTTTTCTCGCTTCTGACGTCATTAAAAAGAGATGGATGATGCGACTCCCCAGGAGCCTTAGGGCCTGCCACAATGGCAGGCAATAGGTAATAGGAACAGGCAATAGCCAATAGGAACAAGGAATAGAACTAATTGACCAATCAGAATTTCTATTCTCTGTTCCTATTGCCTATTGCTTGGCATTCTGCAAGGGCCCTAAAGATGATCTTAAATATAAGTGGTTTGTTCTTTTACTTTAATTAAATATATATTTGTTTAACTTATTGCAGCAGTGCAGAGCAAAAGAACAGACCGGTATGATCGGTATGAATACCGGCCATATAGACGGTGATCGGGAATTTGACTGCGAGAGCCCACCGCATCGCGGCGCGACGCCGCGTAGCGGTCGCTGAGGTAACTCGCCACCGCGCGCCGGTCGCGCTGATCGCACGTGCTCAGACGCGCATATCGCGCCGCAGTCGGCTGCCCAGGACGTGGCACCGTTCGCTCACGACTTGTCGCTCTCCTCTTTCCGCTGTACGGAATATCACCCTTCCCAAAAAACTAACCCTAACCGAACCCATCATGTACGGTTTGTTAAAAAGTTATTAAAAAAATTTTTTATAAATGGAGCATTTATGTTACATATTTCATTAATGATAAATTATAAATTATTTTTTTGACGTTGCGTTAACGCGACGATAATGTTACGTACACGTCTTTACTATTTAATGTACTAATATTACTCTAATGTACTAATATTATTATGATATAACATATCACGCGAAAAAATAAAGGAATAGATAATAAATCGATATCACGATCTAACACAAGGTAATCTCTTCTTTTGAAGACGAGATTATTAATGAGATAGTTAACTATTTACATTATTAATTAATAATTAAATTTACAATTACGTTCCATATCAATTTTCGAATCGTAGAGCATAAATTTTTAAGCAATTAACAAGTTGTATCTCGCAATACTTACTCGATCAGCTTGTCGAATTTCTGTTGTATTTCCACTTCAATCGATTCGATCGGTGCACATGGTTTGTTCGTGAGGATATCTGTCAGCATTGCAATATTCTTGCGATTTATCAGCAAACTGAACATTTTAAAGCAAGAGACGATCATGGCGAGCAACATCCAGAAATTATCCATGAATTCGTCTATATTATCCACAATCAGAATTACATCCAGAAATTGTGACAGTGTAGACGTATTTATTAGCATAAGTATAAAAATCGTGTAGAAGTGATACATTAAGCGTTTGTAAGGAGACGTCCAAGAATCTGGTACCCAACAACCGCAAATCATTAGAATTTTATATGTAAATCCTAGTATTTGCATTTCGGCTTTATTATGTACCCTTCTTATACAACAAAAAACAAGCACTAATGAATTATCACAAGCACTAATGAATACATTGAAGCTTTCTTATTTTTTAACAATCGATCAAATTTGCTGGCACTCTTTACATAATTATTTCTTATAGATCAATATTTCAAACCATCTATAAGAATAAAAAATAATTTTAACTTGTCGATCAGCAATTTGTCTTGAGTTGGATTTGTCAGGCAACAATTTCATAGAAAATGTTTAAAGCTGTAAAGAATACTCTCTAAGATTGTCTTCTTAACGGTATAACACACAGTAAAATCTTGTAGAAAACTGTCGTGTCATCGTACATAATCCTATAGTCCCGCGATCTTCCGATAATAATCACTTTGCTAACTTCCCCTTCTGTACGTGCGATTTCATTATTTAAATTGTGAATGTATACTTCAGGCGATATTGCCATTAAGTATGCTGTACGGTCATTAAATATGGACTTAATATCGCAATGTGGGGATATAGTATGATAACTTGATAATAAAATAAATATCAGAAGGAAAAAGGGAGTGAAGAGGAAAAGGAAGAAGACCGAAGTGATAGATAAGAGTCGTTGACACATCATTTTCATCGTGTCACAATTATTATGAACAATTTTACACGGAGAGATAATATGTATTATAATTTTTCTTTCATATAAATTCTTTTTGATTTTACTATGTTTCTAGTAGAGTGAAGGAATAGAATGTTAGTAACTTTATCTTATGGAGCATAACTAATTTTTTAATAGTACATTTTAGTGTGTAAAATATAAATAGTACAACGAACGGATGATCAATTACTGTAGAATATCGACCTGTTCTTTACAAAATTCTATAATAATTGTATAATAATTATAAATTCTATAATAATTTTTATTACAAAATTATCTTTGTGTACTGACACAAGAAAGTATTTTCATGGAATCACAATACTTTTGCTCTTTTCTTTAAATTTTTATTTATTGCGATCTAAAAAAAGATACGGTATAACTATACATTCAATATTACTTTATATAAATCAAAGCAAATTCTATAATAATTAATAAATTTCGTTGCATTATTTGATAATTGTAATCGTAATGATAACAATAATAATAATAGCCGTGATAGGAACAGTAATTATAATAAAAGTAATAATAGCAGTGACAAAAAGAGCAAGAGATATTATTATGAGAATCATGATGCGCCTAAATACATTACTGCCAGGCATACATTGCTGAATTTGTTGTAGGTTGCTGTGCGCATGTGTCAAAAAACGTCACTGTAGTAACACTCTGGAGTTTTCTCTTATAATAATTGGAAAATATTGGCATATGGACGATTACTTGTATGTCCAATTGGCATATGAACAATTGCTTTGGCGTTCACGAGCTGCTTCTAACAACTCGAGTGTCCGAAATATAACAAAAACAAGAATACATAAACATTATTGCGTGCTGTGGTTTGGTTATGTCAAGTCTGAGATATATTCTCCTTATTTTATTCCATTAGAAAAAAATGATAGATAATAATAAAGGTAGAAGTAATGAGCTCGTAGAGAGAAATCGTGAAGAAAAATAATTATATCAGAGATTATCTTGAACAATTAATCTCATATTGCAACTTTTCTTCACGTTGACAGTTTTGTGTCTTTACTATGTATAACAGAGGCTGGAATAAATTAATTAAAAGTAACGACAACCGCAAATACGAACTTAGAGCTGGCGTTGAGAAAAAGCACTGTTCAGCCACACTCAGCTTCACGCAATTAGCTTTTGATCATGACGAGGAATCCCTCGTTGTAGTGGATACCAAAGGTAACTTGTACTGCATCGATTTATCTGAGGATGCTCCAATGTACAAAAGATTGGGAAAGATTGGACAAGCCACTTTCCTCGCGTTCAATCCCAGATACAGAGGGGAAATTTTGATAGGATACAACGCCGGTGACATAAAGATTTGGAGGCTTCACGCGAATTTGGACGAATTCTCTCTGTTATCTGGACACAAGTTACCGCCGACGTGTATTTCCTTTTACAAAAGCCATTGTTTAACGCACTCTAGAAATGAAGTCATAATATGGTACCTACAATCCTATAGTAAAACTCATCAGCTGAAAGTTGATACAAAAAATGCTGTGATAAGAAAGGCTATTTTTTCAAATGCTGGTCATATCGTTGTGTTATATAACAATGATACTATGCAAGCTTGGACGTTCAAGCAATTGGACAAAGATACCAAGATCGACATAAAGATATTTGGCGGACATCATATCAAGGATTTTATTTTTACGAAAGATGGAAGAGCCATGATAATAGTTGGGGCGAAAGGTATATGCATTCTTAATACATATGACTGGAGTTTACTGAGAAAATTATCTCTGCTCGATAACTTTATCGAGGCAAGACAATTGTCTGTCGTTCCACGCCCGCTGGATGGTGGAGCGAATAAAATCGTCGCACTTCTGTCTTCGAGATGTACTCTCCATTTTTGCGACATAAATCTGTCGAGTCCCTTTGAAATAGCCGATGCCATCAATAGAGTTAAAAAATTCGTGATCTCGTCAGCAGGCAGATACATAGCATACTTAGATCAAGAAGGATGTCTGAACGTGATGCATATCGACAAAGTTATATCAAAAAAGAGTCCCCAGCCGAAGAAACTATTAGACAGACCGCAGGCACACAAAATAAACGATCATTTAGAATACATTAGACAAAGCGTGAAGCAAGAATTAGACATAAAACGACTAATATCTATCCTGACGGAATTTGGAGAATATCCAAAGCAGTATCGTGCACTAATCTGGTCCACTATCTTAAAACTTCCGGCTAATAGAAACGCCTATCTCGCCTTAGTAAATAAGGTGACACGTGAAAGATTTACATGGAATACTTTAAGAGATTATTCTGTAGCAGATAAAAGCAAGGCGTCATTACTGGCCATGACAATAAATTGCTTGGTGCAATGGTGTCCTCTACTCTTACAAAGTTCATTTCTTCCTAATTTGGTCTTCCCTTTTTTAATGGTATTTCAGGTAATTCCTTATATTCTACTTCGAATAAATTTATTTTGTATCAAAATATCTGCTAAAATATTTATTTCAGGTATCTATTAATTTTTGTTTCAGAAAGATCCCTTACTTGCCTTCGAATTAATCCTGAGCATACTTCTGAACTATTGCCATAACTGGTTCGAATATCATCCTCTTCCACCACTGAATATCCTGGGAATTATTGAAAACATTCTCCTGGAGGCAGATCCTCAATTATTAAACATCTTCTGCGAACATGGTGTAACAACCAGCGAATACGCGTGGCCATTACTTCAGACTGCGATGAGCGAGGTGTTATCGGGAGATGAGTGGCTGATACTGTGGGACCATCTAATAACATTTCAGAAGCCTCGTCTTCTGCTAATGTGTGTCGTTGCTTATAGCATTTATTCGAGAGAAAACATAATTTCTTTGATACAATCGTCTGGAAATTGTCGTGAAGATATGAAAGAATTTTATAGCACTCAAGGCCATGTTAGAGCCAAGGATTTGTTAAAAATTGCAAGAAAATTGGATCAAGAAATGCCAGAACAAGTGCATTCCTATCGTTACCTAAGGTATTATTAGTATAATATACAGGATATTAATCATATTCTATAGACATTTATATCAAAACTAAGTAAATCCTTTGTAGGAGTAAAGTGTTGCAGTTGACTCATACCGGGCCCTATCCCTTATTTATGCTGAAGGAATATCCCAAGTTCCTCATTGAAAATTTCTGCACCACAGATTTAAAAAAATGGAAAGCAGAACAACATTCACAAAATTGTGATCACGGGGTTGCGGAATCTGGCCAAAAGACTGATACTTTTGCGAAACAAACTTATGAAACAAGACTGAATGGTAAAATATAAAATGTTTAATTTAAATTAATTTATTTGAGTGAAAAAATCTTTCATGATTCTCTTTCAGAAGTACAGAAATGCTTCCTAGAGCATAAAAATAAAAAGTCATGTTGCCAGCATTTGCATAAGGATTCTAGTTCGCAACTGCGAGAAACACAAGCACTTGTTAAATACAAAAGTGCGAAAGATGAAACTTTGAACTTTAAAGATAACACACCAAAAAATTACGAAAAGTTACGACGAGATGTGACAAAACTTGAATATGAAGTGCTAAGTTTCTTAGACTTATTGAAATCTGATAGATCAAGAGTGAATATTATTTAAAATATATTTGTACAGAGTAAAATTAAATTTTATAAAATTCGTACAAAGTATACAATATTTTAATGTGATTATAACACGCAATAATAATATTATTCTATATTAATATATTAGTTTATATATTTTTGGAATTGTACAGTTCTGAAAAATTGTGTCTATACATTGTAATATACAAAATATAGGAGTCTTTTATGTGTCTGTGTATAAAAAAGTATAAGTATAAAGTAGAAAAATATTTGTACTTTTGTGATTGCTATATGAAAGGAATATATAAGTTTAATATTTATTGCATTATTATAATCTCTCATTGTACTGTCGAATATTTGTAAAAAAATTAGGATATATTGCTTCATTATTTGTTAATCATATTGTACAAAAGAATGGACAGGTACCCCAACTTTATCACGACCTTTCAATGAAATCAATTCCATTATCACCAGACATTCAACAACATCTGCACCTACTGATTTCAACAGTTGCACAGCTGCGGTCATGGTGCCTTTAAATAAAATTTTTTCTGTTAATTTTATACTGACAATTATACATCTTAAATTTCTTATATACACATGATCTCTATTTATGTTCGCAGTTTAATATTTTTTTATACTTTACCTCCAGTTGCCAGTAAATCATCGACGATAAGCACTCTAACACCATTTTTAATGAATTCTGTTTGCAGTTCAAATGTAGCCTGTGAAGAAAATGATAAAATGTTAAGTATTTTCTTATATATTTGTATGAAAATTGTTTAATATGTCAACAGGCTATTATTCATTCTTTAATTTCTAATCAATAATATACCTTGCCATACTCTAATATGTAATCTTGCTGCATGACTTTGCCTGGAAGCTTGCCTTGTTTCCTAATGGGCAAGAAAGGTTTCCCCAATTCCATACAAATCATAGGACCAAAAAGAAAACCACGTGAATCTAAACCAATAATTAAATCCACTTCTAGGAATAAGATGTGCTCCACTATTAAATCTTTCATTGCTCTCAAAGCTACGATATTTTGAAATACACCAAATATATCCCTGGTAACAAATAATTTGCATAACATAAATAAAACATAAATAAAAAATGTATTATAAAATATACAAAAAAATTTTAATGTTTCCAGGAAGGATAAACGAAAATTTAACAGAGCTTATTGGCTTACCGAAAGATGATTCCAGGTTCAGGAAAATCGGGATAACTCCTTATAGCATTCTTCAAGATTTGTAATTTATCGTTTTTGTCCATAGTAATAATTAATGATTTTAAACAATGAGGTTATGTTTTGTGTCAAAAAGTTAAATTTGAAATAATAACACAATTGTGATTTAAGGCTAATAAAATTTATAATTTACCAAATTTATCAAAATTGTTTTAAAAAATAAATTTGGATAACACGTGAGTATACTAACGAGGCACTTAAATCATCACGTTGGTAACCAGACAAAACGTTACTCTGCAACATTTTGATCAATTAGCTTGTTCTTCGTAGTTGCACAGCTGAACTAGTGTACTCTGGTACAATTAGAGTGAGAAAAAAATAGATTTATCTCACTCTATAGCAGTCAGTTATTTTTTTTCTGCTGCATTGCTGCATTGATACGATAAGTTAGAGCGAAATAAAATATATTTGTTTTACTCTAAAGGGACGTCTACATTGGAAGTAAGCAGTAAGAAGTAGAAAGTAAGAATAAGAAATTGACCAATTATAGTTGATTATTCTTCTCATATTTGACTGTGGTTAGTCAATTTCTTACTCTTACTTCCTACTTCTTACTATCTACTTGCAATGTAGACATCCCTTAATTTATTACAACAGTGCAACTAAAAAGAAAAAATTTACCCTTGGTCTTCATTCAATGATTTAAGACTTAAACCTTAAATATTGATTAATCCTATTGGATCATTCTTATAATAGTCGACTGTGATGATCAATTTTTAAGGCTTAAATCTTAAATCACCAAATATAGACCAAGGATTATAGTGATGGAAATGCTGTGGGAATTTCCCTAAGCAGAAGTTTCATACGTAATAATTTCTTCACACAAACAAAATTTCTGAAAACAGAAATGCTTGCGACGCGGTAATCAATCAATGTACTGTTTTTCCATAAGAACTAGAAGTTTATTGACTATTGCGTCGCTTTTTACCGCGTGGCAGACGTTTTCGTGTTCTGTGTGCAGGAACCATAAGCAATGTCTCAGTTAATCAAGGATCTCGACGTAGGAAAAATTCCTATGGTAGCCTATCACTAATAAAGTGCAAGCAACGCAAACAAGCTTCTCATGTTCACGAAATATAAAGTCTGCTCGTTATAGCTGTACAAAGTTGCATTGCCCGCGTTTAAAATGATACAAATAGATATAAATTTTGACACTTGGTGAAAGAAAAGAGAAAATAGAAAAAGATTGCAAGGTAGTGCGGAAAGTGTAGCTATGAAGAACAGATAGTTACATTTTGTATCGATATTCGATACGATATTCGATATTCGAATCGATATTTTAAATTGAAAGAAAATTGTGACTTTTCGTGAAGAGCTGTGACATACGCGAAGGCGAGTAAAGATCTATAGAAGGAAACCTCTCACGAAATATTCTAACGAAGATGGCTATTATTAAAATGTTACGTCGAAAATACGGTACGAAAAATAACGTCTAGATTTATAATATTTATATATACTAGAACAATACATGCGCGCGCTACGCACCCGCTATATAGCTAATAAAAAACAATAAAAAATGTAAAATGAAAATAAAATAATTAAATTAAATTAAAATATACTTTAATTAATTAATAATTATAGGGAGAGACAGGGAAAGACAGGGAGAGATAGGGAGAGACAGGGAGAAGCAGAGAGAGACAGGGAGAGACAGGAGAGGCAGGGAGAGATAAGGAGAGACAGGGAGAGACATATCTCTTCTGTATTTTTTTTCGTGACCTAACTAACGCGATGACAGCTATTTGCCTGGTAATTTGACAGGTGCAAACGACACGAAGAGAGAGACATATCTTTTCTGTATTTTTTTTTTGTGACCTAACTAACGCGATATATCTACGGCACGACGGGGAAAACGAAAAAGACGACATTTGGTTAAACAAATATTTATTTATATTCGTTTTTATGATAGATGTATTTACGACGTATCTCTCGACATCCAGTATATATAAGGAAAAATGAAATAATTGCTATAACAAGAATGTAATAGTAATCACATATATTTATTATTTTACAACAAAACAGGTGCATTGTATTTGGATGTTAAAAACGATTAAAGAAAACATATTTACAACATGTAACATGAGCGAAATTAGTATCGGATCAGTCAAGAAGTTCTGTTTGATTTTCATGTCAAGTTTGACTTCATTGCACTTAATAGAAACAAATTATTCGTCGACTAATCATCGTCGTTGCTTACGACCTTTCACTAACGTTTTACCAACATTCATACACTCTCATCGTAAAAGGTGTGATCAGTTTATTATTATTATTAATATTAATATTATTTCTCATTATCATATTTGTTCTATGTCTGACAAGGTCGTCCCATGGCCTTTTTATTATTACCATTATTATTGGTGTTATTTGTATTATTTGTGTTATTATTAATACGATGTGTTGCACTCTCAAAATTTCTTAGAGTAAAATTTTACTCGAAAAGCAGAGTGACTACTGAATCATTCGAAATCGAGTGATATTTCATTTGTATATAATGAATTTTTCCACTAGTGAATATTTTCACTCGAAATTCAGAAGTAAATTTGATGTGCTCCACTGTGTGACAGAAATATATTCACTCTAATCGATTGAAGCATTCGCTCATATAGAGTGAGAATCCACTTTAAACTTGACTGAAACGCTCACTCCTGCAATTTTGAGTAGCGGTATTTTCACTATCGCTTCGAGTGAAAATACTGTCACTTTTCACTCGTTTTGAGTGAGGTTCCACTCCAGGAGATTTAGAGAGTAGACTGTCAAACTTTTGTCGTGGCCAGGAGTTTGATGTAGTGCGCTTTGTGAGTGATTTCGAATTCCTGAGTCGGCAGGAAGCACTGCGCCTGTATAGCAGAGTGCTTCCTGCCGAGGTTATAGCCACGGAGGATCAGAAGAAGGGTGATGACGCAGATGACGAGAGCGACGGCTAACGTGATGAAGACGACGTTCAACTGGTGGCTCTGCACCACTTCGACACAGCGAGAGTGCTCATGATCGTTGAGCAAATCGCTGACGGCGACCACAGCCTCGGTGAGCTCGTCCAGACTGGCGCACACCATATAACAACCCGGCAATGACACTTCCACGGTGACGAGCGCGGAGCTGCAATTGAACGTCTGCCGATGCACCGCGGAGATCGTGTTGAAGATGACGATGGACAACTGACAGGTCGACGTCTCCGTTATCTTCGCGGAGAGTGCAACGTCCACGTGCAAGTTGCCTTGGTCGGACACGTTCACGTGAATCCCGGTAATCCGCGGGTAAGAAATGCCGAGAACCGGCGGTTGCGTAGAAGTCGCGAGATGTGAGTCGTGCGGCTGTTGCTGCTGCTGCCGTTGAGTCTTCTCCAGGACGATGACGTCGCTGCAGCCGAGACCGAGAGAGACATCGTCGTAGGCGGTGGGTACCAGCAGCACCACGCAGTAACGATATTTGTGACCCATTTGCAGGTGCAATGAGACCGGTATGGAAACCGGCAGGATGCAAGGATCGCGCATCATGCGCGAGTCGCAGTGTAGAGGGCTGGATTCCAGCTGGACTTCTTTGTCATCGACGGTCTCGTAGACAATGAGCGAGTCGCAAGTGTAGCGCTCGACGCACTGCTCCACGTGCCAGAGCAGGTTAACGCCGGTCGACTCGTCGTAGTGGAATTCTTTCAAGCTGAGTTGCTCACCAACCACGGGCACACCGCGTGTCATCATGGGTGGCGTAGGCTCGCCGCAGAGCAGGCTACCCGGCGACACCTGTGTGAGAATACCGTTCTCCAGCGCGGGCGGTGTCGCGCACACCGCCGACGACCTATCCTCCTCGCTTAAGCTGGAGTTGCTGAGCCAGTTAGCGAACTCCAACAGAGTGCAGTCGCAGTTCAAGGGGTTGTCGGCGAGAGAAAGCCGCTTCAGGTGCAGCTTCGTGGTCGGCACGTCGCTCGACACGATCGTGATGTCGTTGTCGTCCAGTCGTAGATCTTGGAGACTCTTCAGCGGCACCACTAGATCCGCCGTCAACGATCGCAGGAAATTGTGCGTGAGATCCAACATCGTCAGTTTCTCCAGATGCGCCAGCGACGCACTGGACACGGCGACGATGCAATTGTTGGCTAAATCCAGCCGTGTCAGGGTCGACAAATGCTTAAACGAGTGGTCTTCCAACACGTCGATCTGAAAGTCAATGATATTTATTCGTTTAGATTATATTGCTCGCGAGGCCCCTAATTAGATGGTTTTAATTTTTTGTATAATATTTGTCTTGCTGTTATTTTAACGAACAGATCAAACCAAAACTTTTCGACTCACCTGATTATGACTCAGGCTGAGATAAGTGAGATTCCTAAGACCTACGAGGGCTCCTTGTTGCACATTGACGAGACTATTCTCGGATACGTTAAGGAAGTGTAATCTGGGCATCTGCGGCAACAAATTGGGTCCCATCGGGCCCAGCAACAGATTATTGGATAAATCCAACTCTTCCAATCGCTTGAGGCCTCTTAGGGCGGACAGAGCGGAAACGCTTAGATGATTTCCGCGCATTCTCAGTGAGCGTAACATCGGCAACGCCAGGAACACTTGCGGCGACAATTGCGACAGCTGATTGTCGCACAGGTCCAAATAAGTTAAATTTGACAAGCCCTAAAAAAATCGAAATCGTTTCGTTATTCGCTGGTTGATCTTCCAAAATTGTTTTACCCGCAGCAAAGTCGTAAACATCAAACACTTCATTTCATAGCCAACTGTACCTTGAAGGAATCCGCTTTCAATGTTTTCAATTTGTTATGGGAAAGATCCAGCCGGTCCAAACCGATTAAATACGACAGCGCGACTGTAGGAACGGAGTCTAGGAGATTGTTCGGAAGTCCAAGGGCCTGCAACGGCCGCGCTAGTGCGATGAACGCGTCCTCATGAACGCGTTTTAGCTCGCCGGTAGAGACAACTAGTCCATGAAGAGCAACGTTCTCGAGGAAGCGCGCCGGCAACACGGAGATCCCCGTCACGGTCAGGTCCAACAAGGATATCATGTTCGCTCGACTGTGTTTGAGGTGTTCACTGATGACCTAGAAGAACCATTAGAATTTCAATCTGTCTTAGATGATAAATTTTTAATTGATTCGTCTTTTCTTCCTCTTCACGATATTCTATTCGCAAAAGGAACTCAATTATCTGCCATATCTTTCGATTATAGAGTGTATCTTTCGATACATTTTACTCATGAAGACAAAGTTGTCGAGCGATATTTGTTGAAATAATTCACGACGATAGCACTATAACAGGACACGGCGCAAAACAACCGGCGTACGCGAACCAGCGAGATCGAGCATCGAGTCGTAGAGAAGAAAGAGGCGGGAACGAAAGGAAAAGAGCAGCGAGCACAATGAACTCTTGAATGATATACGTATATAAGATTTGTATTTCATTAGCGGTCTGCACACCTACGCTCTTCCTGACCGTTGGTTAAAAAGTAACGGCCTCGATCGCGCTGTGAAGCGTAACAACGGACGTTAGAACGAGCTGTCGCATTTAAATGAAAGCATCTGAATATACTTCTCGAAAATACTTGGTATGTCACAACAAATATTTTAAAGCAAAGTTGTGCGCGCGTGTCGGATGTACGACGTTAATGTAATGACGCAATTACCTGCAACGCCATTCTATCGCCTGTACACCTGAGTGTGTATGGAAAGTCGCAAGAACATTCCACACCCACTTTTGTGATATTCGGACACTCCCAAACCGTGTCAGAGGAGGACGATGATGCGTGGGATATATCTTTCGGGATGTCATCATCCTGTACTGTCACAATTGTCGGTGAAGCCGACGGAGACGATGACGACGTCGACCACGAGGAAGAAACATTTTCCTTGGCAGCAGACGTCGTTATCATTGTCGTCGTCGTCGTTTCTAATGTTGTCGTCGATATTGTTTCAGCTGTCGTTATTATCGAATCTATCATTGATGCTGCTGACATCGTGGCGTCGTCCTCCGTCACATTGAGACACGACGCCGTCATTACCAATGTCAAAACAAGTAAATCTCGAAACGGTCTAAGCATCCTGAAAAAAGACGTGCAACACAAAAATGTAATTACATCTCATTGTAAACGTAATTGCAGTCTTTACAATTTAAGAAGAAGAAAGAATCTACGCTTTGTGTCATGAATCTTACAATTAGAGAAAGATTAAGGTTCGTGTCGACCATTTTTATTGTCGCCTGGACAATTATGTGAAAAAATTAGTTGGTCGCGAGACATCTCTCAAGTAAGATGTTTCACAGAGAAAATAATCGAATTGCTTTTTATCATAGGTAATCGATAAGCGTGCGATGTTTTCAAAGACACTGGAAGCATCTAAGTTAAGTTAAATAAATGCATATTTATTTTCGTGAGTTTTAGCGCGAATTTGGAGATATTATGATATTTTACACATCACATTTGATGATTCTTGTAATCACTGAAGTTATCCGCATAGCATTTTAAAACGAACTTAAAATCATTTGAAATGCAAAATTGAACTTTAAAATAAGATCGATCAAAGTCTCGATTTAAGATGTCGATTTTGTTTAAAGAACGCAACTTCATTCTGAGTCATCAGTCGCTGATAACCGTAATTTTTATACGGCAAACTCGAAATTATAGTGCAGAGTCTCGTAGTAATAACGCATCGATCCAAAGTACATATTTGAAGCCGAATGTCTCATACTTATTATACCGAACTATGGCTAATCACAAGAAGCGATCTGGAGAAGTTGTTGGAGTTCGAACAGAGATTACAGGAAGGTGCACCGTTAAAGAAAAGGGTAATTTTAAATACGACGTTATCTATGTACGTGAGGTACGTACTCGAACCAATTTCCTATTATAAATCGATATCTTATGTGTACTTAAAAATTCGAAATTTAATAGAGAGAGGAAATACAATATGAATAATTCGCCGTCAAAGTGACCGTGCTCGTTGAACAGATCGAATTAATTTTTTCTATTTTTTTTAATTCAGCTTAATTTAATTTGATTTTTAGATACCGGAACATAATCAGAAGACTTATCCTGTGCTACGATCAAACGGTGCAGACACAGAAGCGGAACTTAATAAAGAAGATATTAGACTGCGCAATCGGGCGGATGTTGCAGTGTAAAAGGGAGATCGTACGACGGGATTACTCAGACTATCAGTAGGCTTTTCACGCGGCACGATCGCTTTTGATCTACTGACAATGAGTAAATATCGGCCATTGTAGATGGCCGGACGATATCTTGTATCAAATGAAGTTCACATTGGACGATATAGAACTACTTGCAACGGCATGCGGTCGGGAACGTTTGGAGGAACGCAAAAAGTTCGTTCAGGAGTTAATCGAGAGAGTGCAGAGAGGTTTATGGAATTTTGTTATCAGTTATAAGATTGATATCAAGTAAGATCTTGAAATAGATTCCACTTGCAAAAAATAATTGAAATAGATTCCACTTGCAAAAAATAATTGAAGTAGATTTCACTTACAAAAAATAATTGAATGTTAAATATAAATTGTATTTACAAGTCTTTTGATGCAGATGTATCTTCAATCTTTTGTGTTTCAACAAGTACAAATAAAAGAGCCCAGTCTGCCGCAGACGCCAATCGAAAGTACGATCGAATTGAAGGACGAGATGACGAAGACCCGCGCGGCGCGAAGAAAACGCGCCGTACAACCCTTCAAAGTGGAGGTGCCTCGCGAATCGCCCGAGGAGATAGCCGCCCGAGAGAGGAAAGCTGCAGCCGAAAAAGCCATGCACATGGCGATATTGTTGATACAGAATCACGAAAGAGCAAGGAGATCACGCGTCCATGGTGAAGACGGTAATTAAATTAAACAGAAAAACATAGATAACTCGCTTGCTAAGATTTCTCGCTTGCTAAGATGTCGTTATGAACAAAAAATTTTATTAAAAGCCTTGTTCAAAATTATGTGAATGCAAAACACACACACACTCTCTCTTTTTCCCTAATATATATATATATATATATATATATATATATAAATAATATAAAACGATAACTTTACATAAGGTTCAGACTAAATTTCACATCTAAATCAATGGCCCATATTCTGAATTCTCTTTTATCTATAAAAGTACCTCTAAAAGAGGCTTAGGAGCCACCTGATTGGCTGAAAAGCTATATTTAAGGCACTTTTATCGATAAAAAAGGATTCAGAATATGGGCCAATGTGAATTAATAAAATGATGATCGGTTTACATTGAAATTTAGACTGAATATAATGTAATTTTATCGTTTTGTACTCATTATTTTAAGCAGGGAGCATTTATTTAAGAATTTATTTATCGCGTTACTGTTCTGTAGATCTTTCTTGTATTCAACCATGTAATCACTAACGTAAACTGTTCTACAGCGAAGCGTACATTCGAATACAACAAAAAACTGGCATACGGGGAAATCATACCGAAAAGGATAGATCACGCAGTAATCATCGAGTCGGCGAAGACGATACAGCGCGCGTGGCGACGATACACTGCGAAGAGAAACACGCGGAGGAGAATCGCGCGTCTCGAGGAAATTCTGGGTATGACGATACCCAGCTGGCAGTGCCGCAAAGTGTTTGCGACGGACGAGGAGAACTTCAAGCGACGACGCGCTTTGATACCTGTGTTCGCTGAGCAGACTGAGAAAGCGATCAGTGACGAACGTGCAAGGGTAATGGTTTCATTATAATAAAAATAAAATAAAATATAATAAAAATCGTTTATCCTGAGAATTTCTAGTGCTATGTTGAAGTGTGCCTCGCAACGATCTCGATAATCGAATTAACGAGTGTTTAATTTTTAATAGTTGCTGAAAATTAGAGGACCCGGACTGATGGAGGACATCATCGACGAGATTCACGAGTGGTTCGTCACCTGGTACGACGCTGCAGGACACTACGACGTGTTTCCAGCAGCTGAGCTAGGCGGCAGCGTCCTGATCGTGACTGGGCAGACTTTGGCACCGCAAGAGTACCTAACTGAGAAGTTGGAGAAAGAAGCGAGAAAGAAAGCCAGGAAGAAGGAAGCTCCCAAAGCTGAAACTGGGCCTGCGAAGGCTCCTGAGAAGGGCTGGAGGATGCCGCAAACGCAGGCTCTGTCTTGCTTACTGGAAGCGAACGCCGATTTCATAAAAAACTGGAGTCTTCGCGACGAGACTAGGAATCCGGAGCAGAAAGAATACCTTGATCTGATCGTCGAGAAACTCTGTTACGAGCTGCAGCTCGAAATAAGGAAGATAGCAGACGGGTTCTTGAGAGCAGAATTGGAGCTGTTGAATAAGGCATTATTGAAGGATCACGCGCATGATAAGAAAAAATTCATTATCCCGACGATGAATGGAGGTATAATCGGATAAAATTTAACGATTTTAATTTAATTGTAATTTAATTACGAGCTATTTAATCGTTCGGTGAATTATTTCTTGGAACTTTTGCGACAAGTTATAACTGCTAATTTCAACGATTTCTAACGTGCAGTTTTTAATTATTATTCTCCCGCTTAATAATGATATATTTATGAACAACTAATTTAAATGAGTTATGAGAAGAAAAGAACAAAGGTGCCGAGCCTGTCAAAAAAGTGAGGAAGAAAAAGGACGTCATGGATGACATGCCCGTCGAGGATCTGTTGTACGAACTGCTGCAAGCAGATGTCATCAGGGAATATCCGATCGTTTCCTTGCGGGACTGGGTCGGCGATTTCTCGTATGGAAATTACGAAGCACGTCGCGAATCTCGGGATTTCAAGCACCGACTCGGTGAGGTCAAGCAGCTTATCTTGGAGTACTGCGTGCTGCCTTTAATTTCCAAAGAGGCGCATCAGGTCGCACCGCTCGTGCGCTCCGTATGTATCTGCGGATTACCGCACGCCGGAAAGACTTTCCTCGCCAACGCTATTTGTTCAGAGGTTAATTGTCCATGCTCTTTTTGTGATAACGAAGAATACTGAGTGAATTGATATGTGCACTGAGAGAAAAAAATATCTAAAAAATAAAAAGATGTCATATTCGCGTACTCTAATAATATATTTATTTATATTAATATAAAATATTTTTCAGATAAGAAAATATTCATCTTCGCAAAACCGTAGCTTTTCATGGAAGCAATTGTTTACTTTATTTAAATAAAATAATTTAGATTTAAGTAAATATGTTAGCACCTACCGAATAAATATTTTTTTATTTTTTAGATATTTTTAGATATTTTTTTCTCTCATAAGTGTATGACACTATTAATGATAAGAGAATAAATTTTTAATCAATTTTTAAAGAATTTCTAGTCAATCTTTTTCAGGTGGGCGCATTACTTTTTGACGTGTCGCCATCTGTGTTGGTCGGTAAATTTGTAAGCAAGAAGGAGCAAGAAAGGCTCATCAACATGATCTCCAGAGTCGCCCGCGTTTACGCTCCTTCCGTTATCTTCCTCGACGCCGGCGAAGGACCCTGGCTAAAGAAAGTCTCGCCAGAGGAGCGTCATCTTCGACCGAAACGATTCACGAAGCAGTTCGTGAAATTAATAAAAGGCATCGCTCCAGGTGACCAGGTAAAGCTATAAAGAGTGAAGGTAGACCCTTCACGTCTTTTATAATTACTTATTTCCCAGTGTATGATTTATTCTTTGCTATTATCGCGATATTGCTCGTCTCAAAATTTGTATTTTGTTCTCAGTAACATTTTTCATGTCACATATATTCAAGATCTTTCATTAGACACTCCGTGGAAATAACTGTATAAAACATTGGAAATTCATTTTGTCGTGAGAACTCGGTGTAAAACTCTTAAATGGAGGAGCGTGTTGAGGCGTGTGATCAAGCAGTGCCCATTTCGTGAGATTCTTGTTATTCCCGTTTGAGATCTCTTTCTTCAATATGAATGAACCGCCGCCTCGGCGAATTCGCAGGCGCACAGCGGGTTCTCTCTTTCTCTTTCCCGTTTCTCTTTTTTTATGTCTCACGGACCTCTTTCGATCGAAGTTGCTCATCAATGAAACACCTCCTACCGGTGTATATGGTTGGCGGGAACGTAGGTGGCGGCGAGTTAACGTAGGATTTAGAATGTCAGAGATTCCGGACAGATACTGTTACTCACTGGCGTAGGTATTGCAGAAGGCGGTCCAACATCCACCTCAAAATCTTATTCTACTGTCGTTTTCCCATAGATTATATTGTATTTACATATTCGTGATCAAAAGTTGTATGTAGAAGACACTCAATTTACTCGGGACTTTTGCGTTATTCATTAATACGACGAACTCTTTCAACAGGTACTGTTCCTTTCGTTGTCCGAACAGCCAGGAAACGCAGCACAGCCGTTCTTCAAAATCCACGACAGATTCATAATGATACCCACCACCGACTACAATACACTGTATATGTATTACAAGGATCTACTAATGAAATATCACGGCGTCGATCGCAATATTGACGTCTCCTGTTTGGCTAAGCTATCCATCGGAGTTCCCCTGAACTTCATTAAGGAAGCCGTAGAGAAGATGTTGTCGCTGCGGCGACGAATAACTCTCAAACACAACCCGCTCAGCACGGTAGAAATCATGAATGAAGTAATGAAGTATGAGTATCCTACAGAAAAGACGTTGGAGGTGTTTCGTAAAATTGAAAACCGATTTCTACAAAGAAGGAGAAAGGCTGCAGCTAAGCAAGCAGCCCCAGAATGAGCGCAAACGAAAGGAGGCGCTCAAAGACACCCCTCGAAGTGAGTAAACGCGTCGCGAGCTTTTCGCGAAAATTTTCATCGCGTATCACGAGAAACGCTGTCGAGTATTTTATGTTGCTGACTCAATTCGCACGCAAAAAAGTACAAATAACAAAAATACAAAATAAGGTAATTCTATTAACGTAAAGCTCCTGATCCTTCGCCGCGGCCATCTTGATTTATGACGTCGAAAGAGCGAGAAAATACAAGCTAAAAATTCTTGCAAAATACGTAAAAATAAAAAGATGTACCCATTAAATGACATTCGTGACCGATCGATGTGTAAAATAATGCAAACACTTTTGTTCTAATGATCAATAAATAAGTAAGAATTTCGTGTATTTCCTCTGACGTTATCAATCGGAAGTTCCGGGGTAAAGAACCAGGAGACTTAAAACAAGTTATTTCGCTATTAAAAATAGACGTTAGGGATATTTTATTTAAATATCTACTCGTGTAAAAAGGTAATACAACTGCGTTATTACAGGAATAGCGCCAGTACGTACCTATAACGTGCAATATGCATCAGTCTCGAACGTGTTCCCAACCTCTGCACCCTCCCACACCTGACCTCAGCCTCAAAGCGAAGGAGGAACGCAGTAGCACCCACGCCAGTGAAGCGCTCGCGAGTGCATCGTGCGATCCGTCCTACATTAATGGAGAACGGTCCTCAAGTTCGGATGTTTTTTGATGTCACATCCCTCCTGTGAGATTTCTCGAGCGCTCCTTGTATTCTTCACGCAAGGAAAACTTGCGAATAGCCGAGAGAGAGAAGAAAATCGAACACTTCCGCGGCTCTGATCACACTTATCACTTGTGCCTTATCCCTCGCAATATCGCCGCATAATTATCACAGACAAGGGTCGCGAGATGAAATCGCGAGATCTGTCGAATGATCTTCGTCGATCGTAGAGATCAGGTGTTGACACTTCGCGACAATTGAATTGTCGGGATCTACGCTGTCGCGCGTGTCGTGTACGGTAACTCATTCGAAGCTCGTCGACTTCGACGTGCGCATACGGTCGCGCGGAAGAAGAAGAAGAAGAACAACGGACATCGCGTCTCTTCCAAGATCGGCGATGCGCGCGGTGACACGAACGCCTGGACGGTACCAAACAGAACGGATTGCGATCCGGACGTGCGGTTGTGGTGTTGATGCCGCAACACCACGACGGGCAGCAGACAACAGGTCGAGTACGACGAGTACGTGCTGCGAGACACTGCACGAGTGCCGAGAGCATGCTCGACGACCACTTCGAAAGACGAGAAAACCGACGTCGCCTCCACCGTGTCCACGCGGTGGGGACTCCCCCGGTTTGTGTCCGTCCGTCCGCCTCTCTATGTGTCTCTCGGTTTCCACATAGCATAGCCATGTATGGAACACGGGACGACGTTCTCTCTCCCGGCCCTTACGCCCACTTGCGCCGCGCCGCGCTCTGTACCGGCTCTCCGTCGCATCTGGAGCAGGTATCATCGCGGGTGACAACGACGACGATGAGGACGAAGACGAGTACGACAACCACATCGCCACTTGCTCCCTCGTCGTCGAGAACGACCATGGCCGAAAGAGTAACTGGAATAACGCGACGAGCACCTCGATGTCTCTTTCGTACAGTAATTTTTTAAATGCTCTGGACGTCGTTGCTTAAACTCTGAAACGCCGAAACGCCCGTCGCGAATTCTAAGACCTCCTGGTTACTTTGATGCTTTATTAAATTATTATTGAAAAACAAATTCTCATTTTCAGTTTTTACATTAAGCCTGAAAATAAATTTTGCATCTCGTGTTAGTCTTCAAAAAGCGACACGTCTTCTTCAGTCTACGACTTCATTTATTTCGTGAGGACGTGTCCGCGCGTGATACAAAAAGTATTACTGAGTGATTCCCGTGCGCGCTGTTTTCGTATGCATGAGTATACGGGAGAAGTGGGCGAAGAGAACGACAGAATGAAAGAGAGAGAAAGAGAGGGGCTCGGTGCGAGAAGGAGAAAGAGAAAGAAAGAGAGAATATGGGTGGGTGGGGTAGTAGAAGGGGGACTCCGAAGGTCTTCGGGATCCTCGTGAAATGCTTTTTGATACTGGAAATCGGTCCGTCGCGCGTTACGAAATCACGTAAAACCGGGCCTTTACGCCCACGCGAGATTAGTGTAGCCGCAGTGAAAGAAAGTCCGACTTCTTTAACAAGCTCTCCGAGTGTTTATAACGTGCCATGCTAAAAAACAGGCTCGGGACAGCATTATGTCTAAAGCAATAGGCCGAGAGTCGAACGTCGCGCGAAATTCATGACAATCTCGAAATTGGTTTTGAAACTCTCGCGAGACTCGGATAATAACTTCAACGTACTGTTCTAACGAGAACGTCCCCTTTTATCATAGCGGAAAGACAAGAAGGTGCGGTGGTATCGCACAACTGACAGTCTGATCGAGAGTTTCATTGTATACAAATGTAGGCGGAAAAAGAGCGATTTAAATGACGCTTGCATAAGGAATACATTTACGTCGGGAAGTCGGAGCGCCTCCTGCCAATGCAAACTTCCATTCCATTTATTATTCCATTTATTATTGGTAAATTGGTAGAGACTAATTTTCATCCGTGGCACAAAGTTGATTCGACTAGCGAAACTAGTCAATGCTCGCACAGTTAATTAGAGTCTGGGAAATGTTAATTAGGTGCGGGAGGCACGAGGTCAATTCTAAAATGAAAATTATGTGGAACTTGAGACACGTTATACATTGACATAGAAAAGTTTACAAGATCGAAACAAATATCGTCAATCTTACAGATTATTATAGATACTTTTTTATTATTATATTATTATAACATTTATACAATTTATAAATTATATAAAAATACAAAAACGCAACCCTAGTTGTACACTGGGTGTTAATTTTATGTAGTACAGATAATTGCACGATCACTTGTAGAATATATCGGCGATATTAAAAACTTATATTTTCTAGTTATAACGTGATTCGAATAATAGTTTTACGGAAGGTCGACCTACTTTAATCAATTCGATCAATTACGAGTCATTGAAATCTCTTCCATTATATCAATATAATCCCTCACGTCGTTCATATATCGACTCAGAAACTTATGATTTTTTTTCACATTCTTAATCAAGTTTTTAACGTCTGTTTCTCTGTAAAAAAACAACTCGTTAAAAATTTTTACTCGTGTGACGTAATCTCGACGAACTCACCTTATTGTGCCCAGCAAACAACGAATATTAACATCACTCGGAGTGAGCTTATCGAAACGTTTCACATTGATTGTGATCTTCAATATAATATCCATATGTTTGCTCCGAGACACGAACGAAATTCTGAAATAAGCGGATAATAGCAATAATTCAAATAATGACGTTATTAAGTCGCATCATTGAATACGATTGAATGGAAGTTATTACTTATCACGGGCGATCTCCATCAAGTTTAAGTTGTCCAAGCGTTTCAAGTCAAACATAAAATTCATCGCCAGTTTCACGTCTTGCGAAACAAAGTCTAGCATCGGAAGAACGTCCTCGTGAGTTTTGTACGAATGCGTAAGCGTTTCCACGTTGATTTTCTCCAGAATCAATCCGTGAACTATCCTCATTAGTACATCTACGTCATCTATTGCGAAAAAGATATCGTTGGAATGTTACCATATTAAGATTTATGCCATTTCTCCGACTCTTATACTTACCTGCAAGGCGGGAAATAATCTTGACTTCTTTAATCAAATTCTCTTCGGAATGATTCAGACCGTCCGATAAGAATGTTACTACCAACAATGAATTCGACATGAAACCGAACCCAATCATTCTCCTATCGACATTTTTGTAATACACACTCCAAATGCAGTCTTTTCTGTAAAAAAAAAATGCGTATGTTAAAGTGCCATATTTTTTTTTATCTCTTTGAGTTTCAGCGAAAAAAGTACATAACATCTTAGGTGAGTAATTTTCATATATAAACATATATAAGTATATAAGTATGAATATATATATATATATATATATATATATATATATATATATATATATGTTTATATTTATTTATATATTTATTTATATTTACTTCTCAGCATAAGCCTCCAATTTTTGCGATAACGATAAAAACGGATTTTGTTCGACTGAAGATTCTTCCTTCTCAATTTTGTTAACGTCTTGTTCTGCGTCGAGTCTCTCTTCTACACAGTCTTCCTTCTTTTCTACATCTTGTGGATTCACTTTACCATCTGAATTCTCTTGACAATATTCATCTTGATTCACTTGTTCTTCAACTGCACTTTCTGTTTCTTTCAGGCTATCAATGCAACGTTCCTCTTCTTTTCCTATCTCTGAGCGCTGTTCTTTCTGCTCAATATTTCGTAATTTTATTTCATCGTTTATCTCCTCTCGGGTATGTTCCTTCTTGTCTATTTGATCTTCTTTTGTCGTTACGTTTGTTTTTGTGAAATGATTAGTGCTAGATAGTATCATCGTCTTTCTGCGATCAACGTTATTTGTTGACAGCAAGTTTTTTCCGTCGAGATGCTCTACATCTATTACGTAGCGATTTAATTCATCGACTCGATGATCATCGGTAATTGTTGTTTCGATTGCTTGGCAATCAGTTTCCCGATTATTTACGATTGTATTCGTCACAACGCTTTTGTGACAGTCTTCCGTTTCATGATGTTCGATGTTCACCGGCTCTAATCTCTCGGAACTATTATTTTTATTATTGATTGGTACAGCATCGGTAGTGATCGATGTATGTAGTTTATTTTCCCGCAAAAACTCAGCGAAAGAGATTTCTTCCTCACTACTCATATAGACAAACGACGGTGGATTGATCGACTGCAATTCCATGAAACTGTTTTCTAGATTCTTTCTCAAAAAACTACATTCTTCAATCTTATTCAGACTATCACTGCCATTTGATCCGCATGACAGTGTCGAGATTCGTGTAAGATCCTTTGTTAAATATTTATTGCTAACATATTTGTCATCAGTCTTGGAAGATAAATGCGTGTTGTCGTAAACAGAGGGCTGAAATTCCACAAAAGAATCGCTGCGAAATTTTTTCGTACTTGTATTTTCATTTTCATAAGATAGTCTTTTTCTACTGGTATTTATCAAGGCACTTGAGTGATCGGAATTATTTGTTAAGACATTAGTATTGGTTGATATAAAATGTAAATTTGTGGTTTTCACAGTTTCTCTCGGAATTGTAACATTTTCTCCTATTTCGCTCTTCCTAAATTCTACTATGTTATTTACTGTTGGATGTTGAAATTCATTGTTCTTGGAAGCATCCAAATTTTCCATTTCATTTAGTGTAATGTTTTCTATATGATGCATACTCAAGGCTGCACTTAACGAGTCATCGGAATTGTTTATTAAGACATTGGTACTGATTGATGCATTGTGTAGATTTGTCGTCTCCACAGTTTCTCTGGGAATTGTAACATTTTCGTTCTTACTAAATCCTATTACATTATTTACTGTTGGACGTTGAGATTTATTGTTCTTGGAAGCACCCAAATTTTCCATTTCATTTTGTATAATATCTTCCATATAATGCATATTCAAAGCTGCACTTGACGAGTGATCGAAATTATTTGTTAAGGCACTAGTATTGGACGATGTATTATATAGATTTGTCGTCTCCATAGTTTCTCTCGGAATTGTAACATTTTCTTTTGTTTTGCTCTTCTTAAATTCTATTATGTTATTTACTGTTGGACGTTGAGACTCATCGTTCTTAGAAATACCCAAATTTTCCATTTCATTTAATGTAATGTCTCCCATATGATGCACAGTTGATTGAATAGTAACAGTATCAACTTTCATTGATACATTAATTACTTTATTATTATTTACAATTGGGTCAGTTTGAAATGACGATCCTGCAAAATCTTCTCTAGGCAAATGTGTTTTTGGCGTTGTAACAGTATGAGAAACCACGGTTTCCGTAATTTCTGCAGTGTTTTCAGTATTACATGTTTTCTCACGCAACAAAGAATTCGGAACAGCTTCGGTAATGTCCATAGACGTGCATAATAACTTGGTTCTTTGACTAAAAGTCATTGAGTTATTCGTATTCTTTCTCTCACATTCGTTTTCTTCATGAATAATTGGATTAAACATTTCTTCTTTGTTTCTTGATTGTATCTTAGTCATGTCCATAGACGTATTATACAAGAACGTATTTCTGTATTCTTTGAGCATTGGTTCGTCTATTCTTAAATTCTTTTTGTCCTGAATGCTTGTTGGTAACATGACATTGATAGGTCTTGTCATTTGCATCGTTGTGTCACTGAAAAACTCGGTTCCACCAGAATTCTCATTAGTTTCCTGATACTTTCGCAAATTTTTTCCTGCAACTGTATCTTCACTGCTAGGATGTGGAATATTTCTTTCATACAGATTTACAGGTCTCGTTATTTCCATCGGTACATCTTTGAAGAACTCAGTTTTATTGGGATGTTCAGTGTTCTCCCAACTTTTCCTCAAATTATCTTCTTTAGTTACAATTTTGTTACAAGAAGGTATAGTACTTTTTTCATCTATTTTAGATAGAGCAGTAGTCATTTCCATTGAAATGTTAAAATTTCCATCATTTCCACCATTATTCATATTAAATGTGTCACTGTCTGCCACATGTGATCGTACTACACTCGTTAATTTTATACTATTTTCTGGCACAAGATATGAATTAGAATAATTAGCATCGTGTATCTGACTGGAAATAATATTTTCGGTTGATTGTAAGTTTGTCAGAAGCTTCATACTATTATTTGAAGCATTACACTTTACATCTTCGTAATTCTGCACTATTACTGGAACTTTCCTGAAAGCTTCTATGTCAGATTTGATGGGCTCCACTGATATTGGAACAGCTTGAGTAATTTCCAACGATTCATTATTGCAATTAGAGACCAATGATTTTGTTGCATGCTTAATATTATACATTTTCTGCTGACACAAAGGGACTGAGACAGACTCAGTAATATCCATAGACTTGAGTAATAATTTAGTTTTTTCAGTAAATGAACTGTTTATATCATTTCTATCATATAAATTTTCTTGTTTTGAAGTTGGCACAAAAGTTTCTGCTTTGTTTTTCCATGATACTACCTTAGTTATTTCCATGGTACAATTTGTATCAAAATCATCCTGATGTTGTGGAACATTATCTTTCTGTACATTCTCCTGCTTATCTTCTGCATCACAATATACTGGTATTGAAGATGCAGGCATTATCATTGTAAATTCCATAGACATGTCTTGGACGCATGTTCTATCCAATTCAGAATTAACATTACTGACACACATCTTAGGATAATATTCATTGTAAATACTACTTGCACAATTTTCTTTATCTTTGTTTGTATATATAGTAACAGCATTGTCTGATGTACTTTCAGGTACATTTGGCGAAATGGTTTTCCCAAGTGGAAGTTCTTGACTAAATATTTCCACATGTTCCACTGGATTGGTAAAATTCAAATCATCTTTATCATTTTCATGGACTTCTGTAGCAGAAGTGCTATATTGCTGACTATGTGTTAGATCAGAGTCACTTGTATGATTTAAACCAGTTTCAATATCAATATCAATATGGTCATTTTCAGAAGGAACTTTTGATGCACTCTCCTTAGAATCAACTTTTGTATTTTGATCTGTTGCAAAAGATCCTTTAAGAATAGAATCATGTTCTTCATATGTGTTATCCCATACGGTCCCCTGTTCCGTGGAATGGCAAAATTCTCTGTACAAAACATTAAAAAAATAATCCTAGTATCAAAAACAATAAGTTATATTCTTAATTTATATGCTAATATACATTACAAGGTACTCACTTGACATGTTTCTTTTCCGCAAAACTAACGCGTCTCTTGATCTTTGATGTGGCTGGACTGTTTTCATTAGATGAAGGATTGAAGTTTACATTCTGCAATGGCTGTCTTGGTTTGCACGCTTTAAGGATCTACAAAAGTATAACAAATCATACATTAATATCATAAAAATAAAAAGCTTTTCATTTTCAAAAATGTGTTAAAGATAAGCTATATAATAATATTGATATCTTAAATTTAAATACTTACTGATGAACGTCTAGATTCATCTTTTTTAGGTTTGGAGGGAACCCTGTGATGTGTATGAAAACATTATTTTTTTTCACATAAAACAATTCTTTATATCTTCATATTTTAGCTTCACGTATGTGCAAAAAATAACAAAAATAATTAATACCTACATTTTATTATACAGTTGAGAAAAAATCAGTTATAACCGTTTCAAAGTATATCCTACAATATATTTCTCCTTTTTAGCTGAACTGTCTACACCAGTGCAACAAGTATGTACTAATGATGGTTTCTCGCTATTCACGAAGTATCGAAATAGATGTCGCTAGTTGGAAAGTCTAAAAGCGAACTCTCCTATTGGAAATCGGATTGTCGAAATCTCGGACGCCTCGGACCATGAATGTAGTATACATGGACCCCGCATACGGCCAGAAAAGTGAAGTCAACATGTAGAAAGAGACCATAAACATAATATAGACATAATATATAATGTCTATATAATATCTTAAGATGTGAATACGGCTCTGTGATTAGTTCATGACATCTTAAGATGTTCTTGGTGACTTAAGATGACTTAAGATGATCTTAAATATAAGATCGGACTATGAATATCGGCCTTAGAGGCTCATTTATCGTTAAAAGCATATATGTAATACTACTATATGGCACGTAGAGGAATTTTTGCTATAAGGCCCTTTGCACGTAGAAAAATTTTAACCGTAACTGTAAGGTCGTAAGAAAACTGACCAATCAGAGTTGATTATTCTCCTTGCGTTCGAGGAATAAATGACTGTGATCAATCAGTTTTCTTACGACCTTACGGTTACGGTTAAAATTTTTCTACATGCAAAGACCTTAAAGCGTCTTCTACAATGGCAGTAGGAGTAGTAGTAAGAAATAAGCAGTAAGCAAATTGACCAATTCCATTCTCACGTTTCAAAAATAATCGATTGTGATTGGTCTATTTACTTACTGCTTATTTCTTACTACTACTCCTACTGCCATTGTAGAAGACGCTT